GGTCGAGAGTGGCGCGGATCTGTTCACTGCCGGGAGTGATGAAGAAATCCGCCTTGGGCTTGAGGCCTGCTGCGGTGGCCTGCTTGACGAGATCCTCGGCGCGGGTCATGTCTTCGTATGAGGAGTTGGTGCAGCTACCGATGAGGCCGGCACCGAAGGTCTCGGGCCACTTCTTCTCACGGACGGTGTCGGCGAACTTGGACAGCGGCACCGAGAAGTCGGGAGTGAAGGGTCCGTTGATGTGCGGCTCGAGCTCAGATAGGTTGATGGTAACCAGCTGGTCATACTCGGCCTTGGTGTCGGCACGCAGCAGGCTCGAGGGGCCGGTGGCGGCAACCTCAGCAGCGGCCTCTGCAACGTGGCCGCGGTGGGTCGACTGCAGGTAGGGAACCATGCTAGGCGAGAAGGGGAAGACCGAGGTGGTAGCACCGACCTCAGCACCCATGTTACAGCAGGTGGCCATACCCGTGCAGCTCAGAGTCTCGACACCAGGGCCGTGATACTCAATAATGTAGCCAGTGCCACCGCGGACAGTCAGCTTACCAGCCAGGGAGAGGATGATATCCTTAGGGGAAGCCCATCCGCTGAGCTTGCCCTCGAGGCGAACACCGAGAACCTTAGGAGCCTTCAGCTCCCAAGGGGCATCGACGAGCGCATCGACAGCATCGGCACCACCGACACCGATGGCAATAGCACCAAGTCCACCTCCGTTAGGAGTGTGGCTGTCTGTACCGAGCATCATCAATCCAGGGGCGGCGTAGTTCTCCAGCACGCTCTGGTGGATGATACCGGCACCCGGGGGCCAGAACTCAATACCGTAACGCTTGGCGGCACTCTCCAGGAAGTTGAACACCTCACTGTTGCCCTTGATTGAAGCTGGCAGATCGGTATCGGCACCGCGCTCACCGACGATCATGTGGTCGCAGTGAATACTGGCTGGGACGGCGGTGGAGGGAAGACCGCAGGACATGAATTGGAGTAGAGCCATCTGGGCCGAAGCATCCTGCATGGCGACACGGTCGGGCTTCAGCTTCAGGTTGGCCTTGCCTCGAACGTCACGGCCGTTGTTGGTTCCGGTGAGCAATGACTCTTCGGCATTGTCCAGATGCGCGTAAAGAATCTTCTCGGCGAGGGTGAGGGCACGGTCGGAGCCAAGGACCCGACGGACCTGTTCGAGGTTGCGGACGAGCTTAGGATATGGGGGCATGCGGGAGGAAGAGGCCTCGGTGGCTAGGCCACGGGCGAAGAGCCGTTGTGAGGAGAGCCGTGTGGCCATCTATAAGGCGTTAGTTTGTCCAATTGAGGTGTCTTCAATGTCTACTTACGCCACGAGAGGCAGAAACCCGCTGCCAAACAAGCTGGCTCACCATCTTCACTAATGTCCAAGTTTGGGGAGAAACTGGGGGAGGAGAAGATGTTCCTTTTTTTTTCCGTCCGGTTATACGTTATTTGCATTTGCTCTGATTGGTTGGTGGTTGCGCCGATTTCGGAATCCAGGCCTCTATTATGTGGGGAAATAGGCTTGGTGTCTCTACATATATGTAGGGCTATACAACCTCTCACCTCTCAATGATCCCTCTAACAATGCATCCTCTATCGGGCTAAATTCTGATGTTCTTATAATTTTCCCTCTGACTTCCATCACATATCTGACAGGAAAATATGCCACTTCGAATCTTTGTAACCGCGACAATGCTGGCTACTTATCGTTCCATCTCTTTTGGCAACTTCCAGACCACCAGAGAACATCTGAAAACATGCGCCAAACTTAATCCATGAGGGATAATGTGGCTTATTGTGCCTTTTCTGCGTCATCTCTATCCGTCCGATCTCCACTGAGACTGGGAAGAATGGACCAAACCATTCTTTATCGGCAACGACGTGGAAGTCACTCCGGCTGGCTGGCCACAAGGAATGCCTGGGAATCGGCGGTGATGGGGTCTTGGGGAATGACATCAATCTCAATCAAAAAGAGCCGCAACATCCTATGGCGAATTTACCAGGATGCATGGCGGGTCAAATGTCGTCGAATGTGGGAGTATATCCCACTAGCCCTGTCGCTACTTTAGCCCATGAAGTGCGAACAATACAACTGCTGAGACAGGTGAAAATAAAAACAGAGGAAGAAGGGTTGGTCACGTGGCATGTGGATCATGTATTCTTTATTAGCCATCTCATCTGTGGCATCTGTGATGCTTACCAGCGACTAAAGTTAGATGCCAACTGGAAGCCCGCCGAGATGATAGTAAAGACTTTTTGAACGGACGTCGATCTCTGGATCTACTATGGAGTAAGATGTTTCAAGTAGGCAAACTATCACCCTGATCTTAATCAACTATGGAGTACGGAGTATAGTTTAACAGTAACAGACTGGAGAATTCTCGGTAAATTACGATATAGGCAGCAACTTATTCCTTTATGGAGTATCATTGCGACAATAGTCCTATCAAAGACCACTACAGGAATGATCTGCAGGGACCAGATGATATGATCCACCACCTAAGATTATATGGGAGCCTCGATATCTGGTAAGACAGCTAGCATATACGAAGTACAAAGTAGGTTGTCTTGGTCGTGGAGACCATGGAGCTTGTATATATTGTTGTATGTGTCACGAAAGAGATGTCCCATTAATTACCCTCCGCAGCGTATTAATCAAGACACATAATATAGATCACTGTGAAGCAAGTAGTCGTTAGCAAGGAACAGCTAAGAAACAGCTAATGTATTTCACCACCGAGCCGGCCACGCCACCGAGCCGGCCACCGCAAAACACATAGTAAATGCGATAAATTACAACTTAATATCTCAATAACTACGGTCTATAGGGACTTCTCCTTATAGCCTTCTATTTTCTAGATGATATCTAGTCTCTTTAGGGAGGTTAAAGAAATTTCATAACTTTATGATTCCGATATATATAATTCAGCTTTCTACAACGTAATTTTCGATAATTTTCGAAATCATAATAACATAGCCTTCTACTCTCTTTAAAATTGATATATGGTGCTAATGAGTCTTATCGATGGCTATCGACAAATAAGGAGCTAAAATAAAAACATGGTTGTTGAGATATAAATGTAGAATATATCGCAGTTACTATGGTGGCCGGCTCGGTGGTGTGGCCGGCTCGGTGAGAAAATACCTAAGCTATGACTGGAAGAATTCTTTGCACAAGTTGAGCTACTATCCTAATTTGTAACATTTTGGAATAGGATTAAATCTGACAGGGTCGAGATAACATTCAATGATATGTTTTCCCCATTGGGTAGGCAGTAACAAATAGGTGCAGCATGTACAGCCCCTCTATAACAAAGCTATACAGAGCGGAGCACAGCGCACAGTAAGGGGAAACCGAGAAGGTGGCTCAGATGGAGACACTTAGTGCCAAATTCAGACACAAAATGGAACACAGCTTTCGCCCAGTCTCCTGACAGGATCAAAGCTATCAGAAATAGGGCCTAGTGGGCTCATCTATAAACCTAATGCTCGGCTCAAGGTGTCTGAGTTGAACCTCAAATGAGCCGTCATCGTCAGTATCATTTCCCACAATAAGCTACGATGGTAGGTTTCTCTGGAAATCGAATGAGAAAGCTCCCCGTTGTCGTGGTTTTCTCTCTTGTCATCTTCTTTATCCATCAGCTCAGCTATGCCGAAAATTTTGCCCTCGCCGGGCAGTTGTCCGAGTCTATACAGATAGTCAACAGATGCACTTTTGATGCCCTCGAACCTCTCGATACCTTCCACCCTATAATCAACTCCAAAATACCCAAAATTGTCCACCAAATATGGAAAACAACCAACATCCAAGAATATTCTACAGAAATAAAAGCATCCCACGAGTCATGGAAGACCATGCTCGAGCCCCAAAATTACACCGTCAAGCTCTGGACTGATGACGACGTTCTCGAACTTATCAAGACCAAATACGCCTGGTTACTATCGACATATATAAGATATCCTCACAACATCCAACGAGCCGACATCGCCAGACTGCTTGTCGTACATACGGAAGGTGGTATATACGCAGACCTAGATGTTTACCCTAGGTCAGCTGAGCGGATACAATGCCTCAAACAGCTCGGTTTGCAAGCTATATTCTCCCCTACAGCAGGCACACTCGGCCTAAGCAACCACTTCTTTATGGCCGAGCGTGGATCTCCACTCCTACAGTGGGTGCTCTACGAGGCCAAGCGGCGAGGGCTAGCGTCGCGACGGATAGTTCTACCATACTTAGAGGTCTTTTGGTCTACGGGGCCGATAATGTTGACAGCAGCGTTCAGGGAATACGCTTGGATATATGGTACGCTACGGGACAACGTAGGGCTGATAGACGAAAAGTATGGCAGAACAGTGATAGAGCATGCCGCTGGGCGGTCTTGGCACGGGGCGGACGGGCAGGCGTTGAATTATATTGCGGATCATGCGCAAGTTGGGATACTATTAAGTGGGGTTGCATGTGTATTTACAGTCTTGGGGGTTATCTATGTCGTTAGGAGATACCGTGGCAGAATCACTACTAGATGATCTCCGGGACCACAGGGCCCTCCTAAACACTGATCTGTAGAATGGTATTAAAACACGTAGAAAAGGAACACCCATCTAGACGATTGCGAGATGTGTGTTAGTAGTATATTTTGTACATATATAGCTTTCCTTTTAGCAAAGCTAGTGAGTACATCGATTTCTATTCTTGCCGTAACCCCTAAAACATACTAAGCCATCATGACAACGGATTTGGATCTCTAGACCAACATTCGACGATGCAGCTTCTATACATGTCTTCGCGGAACTTGTATATCATCATACAAGATGACATTAGTCGGCACCTGTTTAGGGCTAAACCCTTGTTTTCGACATATGCCTCTCTCCCTATTCCAAAACTTCGTCTCGATTATGTCCACCCTTCCACTAGTTTTGGCATTTTCCGGCTTCCTACCGCTCATAATGAGGACCAAGGTCAACCTTTTCCAACTTTAAAGTCTACCAAAAGGACATAGTCACTCAGACTCAGGAAAGCGAGATGCAAGCCCCCGAGAAACCCGACTTACGAAGAAATTCCAAAGTCTTGTAAGAAATATGTGGTTAATAAATTGGAGGAGGAAATTAAAAAAGCCCAGAAGCTTGAAGACCTTCTTGTCCACCTACTTTCAACCGAATTGATTGCAGACAAAGATCTGCCTAAACTTGCCCCGATGTGTGTGTATATTGACTCCGGTAATCACAGAGAAAGAGTCAAAATGGTTGAAGCTTAGCTCGAAAATGCAGGCCACGGCAAACTTGCCATACTCCTACCTATAGTGGGGTTTCTTTTGGTATAGGGTGCAAACGAAGGCCTGCATTCAGCAGAAGGTTCAGGCCTTGCAGATTTCATCAAAGCTACTTCTATCTTCCGAGGATGAAGCAAAACATGCGTCACAATTCGAGATTACAAATAACAGCTCAAAGACCTCAATAAAGGCATTGGGCTCTTTCCAAGAAGAAGTGGGCTAAAGAGGGCTCTATAAAGAGCTCTATATTCTAGATGGTTCATATATCCAAAGACGGCAAGAGCCCTAGCGAACCAAACCTAAAACTACGTAACTGGCCGACAATGGTTTAAGCTTAGCTTATTCTGTCACATTCTACCCAGCTTCATCTCTGCTACGGGTCAATTCTCTACTATGGGCAACGGCAACAGCAACCCCAATATGAAGTTATCCAAATCTGCAAAGTCCGATAATGACAGGACCACCGAACCCTCGTCAACCGAAATGCGTTCCCAACAAACACCACCAACATACGAAGAGAGTACACAGGATGTGATGAAGAAATACGCAAAGCAAGTGGAGCAAGCCAAGACCCCCGAGGACCTGTTGGAACCACTTTTGTCAGGCATAAGTATCCATGAAAAACGAAAGCTGATTCAAAATGTTCCAGATGTAGTCTTTATTGATTATCAGGGCAAGACATGAAGAACTCTGAACCTTGAGACTCGGCTTGAAAATGTAAACTTCGACGAGCTTGCTCAAAGGGTAGTCTACCGCTACCATTTACTCAACACATCATCGGACCGAGACTGGTGCAAAGAACTGATTACGCTGGATATCACGCTGCGATGGATTGTCCAGCGCAGAATATGGCTTGAGCAAGAAGCCAAAGCCCTACAGACATGTCAAACTGAGTATATGTCAAACTCGGATTTATATAAGCTCGATGCCTATGAAAAGCAGATCAAATCCCTCAACTCAAGATACTGGGATAGTCATAGAGAACACTGGGCCAAGTCAGACGGAATATGGAGCATGTTGGCGAGCCGAGCAACGAAAAGGCAGGGAAAACACGCGGATTGGTATCTCTCGGGTGTGCTTCGTGAAGACGGTGCAAATCGAGGGGGATGTTGTGGACAGATGTGGATGTTGCGAGAGGCCACGAATGACTGTCAATATAGATGGGGTCTGTGGTCGAGGCCACTGTACCACAGCATGCAGTTGCTACCTCAAGGCTCACAATATTGACGGCGAAAAACTGGAGATGAAAGACGTGAATGAAGTTCACTTCACATCTCTTAATAGCCTAGCCACGCTTTGCGACTACTCAAGGGATATATCTTCTATTTGAATGGGATGGAATGAACATCACACCGGATCAGGAGTTTGCTTGTGCTGAAAATATTGTTTGGCCAACTTGAGTCACGTCCATGGGTGCTTAATGGAGTAATGTTACTAATCGGCTATTCAAGCAAACCGGGGACTCAGTGCTTGATATTTGATGTTCCCTGGGCAGTCATTGATTTGTCTTCGCTTCTCAAAGATTGATGTAGCTAGAATAACCAACTGCCCAAGATTAGCTTTATCATGTGTTTTCTTAGGTGGATGTCATTTGAAATAAGAGACAAGAAATAAAGATCTCCTCAAATCATTCGTTAACTAGGGAAACTTCATAAACTCGGAGTAAAACCACCAGAGGACACCGAAGTGCCCTCGTTCCCAAGACAAATGCCAATGCCATACCATAACGCCTATCGTCACACAAAGAAAAAGAAGAGAAAACAAGGTAAGGCTCTGATCATACAATCACAGACCACTGTATGCCAAAGACATTCCATGGCCAGTTCTTCATCAACATCGGCGCAAATTCACAAACATCGGTGGAAATAAAACACATGGGTAGAGAAAAAAAAGACACTGGTCTAAGAAATTTGTTGTCTTAAGACTCATCTCCCTCGTCAACCACTGCGGCACGGAGTTCCCAAACCAAATCGTAGCATTCAGCTAGCAGGTTATTGACACTGCCCTGGCCCTCCGGGATATCTGGACCCACATAGAATTTCCCATCAACTCGCATGTTATCAATCGAGTTGAGCTGTTTCGGTCAGCTTTGATACACAAGCAATGTGGACAGTTACATACCTTCATGCTGTATGGGTAAAGTTCGCGCGAATTTGCAACACCCCCAGACTCTTTAACTTCAATCAAACACCGGCGGAGAGTTTGAAGTTGGTTATAGACTGGGAGTAGAGCTTCAGATACAGGTTCTGATGAAATCAAAAGCGCATAGATGTATGCATAACTGCGACGAATCAGGTAGAGGAGCGTCTGATCATATGTTAGCCAAATCCACCAAAGAATGCCCGAGAAAAGATGCTTACTCGCTGCGCGTGCAGATCCGCTGGCTGGCCCTCAGCATCGACGAAATTTCCATTAACGCGTGCCTCATCAATTCGGTCAAGCTTTCGCTGGTATACAAAAAGGTCGGTTTCGCGCAGCGACCAAGCTTGTGTTACAGACAAACGATCCAGTTGGTTGCGGATTTCCAACAATCGTTCGTATTGTTCTTGAAACCGTGCATCAATTTTGCCCTCTCTGTATTTGAATCAGTCGATGTCCGATCATCCCGTTGGCAGGCTAGAACATACCGCTCGAGCACAATTTCAGTCCACCGCCAACACCTGTGAATCAAAGACTTGAGGTCGTCCTGCCCTGCAAGAACATTTCCCTCCTCATCCACAAAGTTGCCGTCCTTTGATGTATTTTCGATTTTCTTCAGCTGTTCTCGAAGCGCGTTTACTTCCGAAGCTGAGAACTAACAAATCAACCATCAGTTAGTACTGATCAGATAGATTATACAATTACTCGATGCCATACCTTTGACCGAGTGTTCACAGCTGATGTCGACCGCAAAATTGAAACCAGTGTTTCGTGTGTCTGCGCCAAGGGAGGAGCCAATACGGCAAGACCCTTCTGCAACTTCGCCAGTGACTGTTCACATTGTTCCAGACGGCTTTCCAAGAGTGTGAGAAGAGCCGGTGAGTATGTGTTTCGGCCACGCTCAAGAGTTTCCCGTGTAGACTCTAGTGTCTTGGTGATCGATTTCAAATCCTTCGAGCTGTAGAATCCAGCCTCTTCAAGGTGGTCGAGTAAGCGCTACAAAGTTGTTAGTGTCCAGGGCGCTAAGCTAACAAGCAAAGCTGCAAGAGATCGTAGGAGTAAATACCTGGATAGTAGTCGCCAAGGAGTATCTAGCAAAATGTCAGTCACAGTCATAAGATGGCGGGGTAAAGATATTGTCGCTCACACTGCGGGAGCTTCGTTGTTCTTCCCAACTGTCAAAAACAGCAGGGAGATCAACTGGAAGCAATCATCCAAGATATAATCCACTATCATCGAGTGTCAGTCACCTCCAAAGTCAAGCGCGCGATCTATTGAACTCACGGCGATTGTGTATCAAACGGCGATCTTGCTCTTTACGAACCGAATTGAGCTTCTCAACTTCTGCGACCACTTCCTCATAAAGTGGTAGGACATCGCGGGACTTTACATATGAGGACTTGTCCCGTTTGATTAGGAGCAGCGCGTCGCGGGTTCGGAGCAGGTTTTCAAGGATGGGCTGCTCCCGCGGATCCAGCGGGACCGGGATGGCGGGGGACTCCATGGTTAGAGAATGCGATAAGTAAGCACGTTGGAAAAAGTAAGGTTGGGAACAGGTTGGATAAAAGAGATAAGTTTCTTTGAAGGTAAAGACAAGTAGAACTGATCGTACGTTTGAACCCCACCGGGATGTGATGTCAATTAATGAATGGATCGATCGATAGGGAGATCCTGCAGATACGACCAAATCGCACGGGCCCCGCCGCAGTTTACTGGAGGATTATGTCATCTCCATCATTATGTCATCTGGGTCCAAATCCGTTTGTGGCTTAGCGTCAAGTCACGAGGAGGGGAGTAGGCTAAACCCAATTAGTCCAAGCCCTAAGCGAGGGCTTTTTCCCACACACGGCGCGTTTGCCCTGTTCGGGTGTCTATCATTGGCGTTCTCCTCTCTTCTTCTTTCCCATCCCCAACTCTCTTCAAGACACCCAGTCCGGTCAACACCACCCGTCGACATGTCTACCGCCGAGCTCGCCTGCTCTTACGCCGCCCTCATCCTGGCCGATGACGGTATTGAGGTCTCCGTACGTATCCAAAATTCCTTGATTTTGGTGGGATAGTGGAGGCTTGAAGATCGCACTTGAAGCTCTATTTACTGTGTGAAATTGAGCCTTGAGAGAAACACAACAAGCTACTGCAAAACCACTGGGATCAAACAACGATTATGCGAAAACTGTGACTGACCTTTAATCTTCATTTAGGCCGACAAGATCCAGACCCTCATCTCTGCCGCCAATGTCCAGGAAGTTGAGCCCATCTGGGCTTCCATCTTCGCCCGGGTAAATACCTGATCCCATTCCACAACCCGCGCCAATATCGAAACAACCCGAACATGGCCGCGCGCGACAATTTAAGATTCGATAACTAATTCGATTTTCAACACAGGCCCTCGAGGGTAAGGACATCAAGGATCTCCTGACCAACGTCGGTTCCGCTGGCCCCGCTGCCGCTGCCCCCGCTGGTGCTGCCGGCGCTGCTGCCCCCGCTGAGGCCAAGGCTGAGGAGAAGGAGGAGGGTAAGTTTTGATATACACCTACTTGGTTTGTGAGTCACGGTACTAATCCCCACTACAGAGAAGGAGGAGTCCGATGAGGACATGGGCTTCGGTCTCTTCGACTAAGCGTCTTATCTCCGTATCGAATTTAAAAACTCGTTTCCTTTTTTCTCTATTCCTCAACCTCTCTTCCCATTGCCGCATAGCGGCGCCCTCGACGATTCTCTATTGTACTCGATACACCACGACCCCAACTACGACCTAGAACCCGGGGAAGAAAAAAAGAAAATTAGCAAAAGAATTCAAACGGACACGGACATTCAATGGAGACTGGGTGCTCGGTATGCCTCCGCGTCATAATGTGGCCGAGGTAGACTCGATCGGATACCGCTGCGATTCCGAAACTATTGTTGCTTCCTGGATTTTAGGGGAATTGAAGAAAGACGTTTGGCACACTTCTTGGTTTGTCCATGATCAAAGTTCTGCTTTGGTCTGGCGAGTAGATGTATGATTCGTTTTCTCGCCCTCCACATGGATCAGCTAGTTTAGTTTGCTCGGTCCTCGTGTTCCGTCTGTCATGCGACCATGAACCAACAACGAATGCCGTCTGATTCTTATATGGGGTACTTGTTCGTAGGCCGGTGACGTAGAGCCGTAGGGCTGATAGTCGGCGTTGGAGCTCCTCGCGCATTGATGTTTTCGATCTCATGTGATATTTCGTTGACCGCACTAGGACTCAGTGGTTATCGCTCAGCAGACTGGGAGTCCTCGTCGACGGTACAAAGTACAACATGCGTATGTAGACGTTGAACCAATATCACCTTGGATCTATAATTGCATCGACAATACCGGTGAGGTGCACGGCTAGTCATTCCAAGGCTGTGCCATCTCGAGAAACACACCCTAATATGTATAATTACATCGACACTATCGACCATATATATCGGATTCAGTCACCAGTTCACTATCAAAACAATCGCTATGCTATTCCAAAAAATTTCCGATGTCCAGCATCAAACGCATGCAAATCATCCCCCATCCAAAGACTCTTGAGCTTGAAAGCAAAGTTCATATTCGACGGTATATAAAGAGAGGTCATTGCTCTAGATCAGAGAGCAACTGTCAATATTTAAGAGATCGCGGAGAGACGAGGTTCCTGAACAGCGTAGATCCGGAATTGGAAGAAGATGACCGCATCCTCAACCATAGTTCCCAGCGATCCAATCAACCATGGAAGATTGGTGAGGAAATATTCCTTCTCTGTAGAATGGCAAAGAATCTATATCCGCGCCGTTAGCTTGCGTCCAGTTTATAGTACAAATTGCAGTATCACTCACCCCTGCACCGTAAGTCAAGTTTCCTAGAAGAGAGAGTATAAAGAACAGAAGTGACAATCCTAGAGCAATGTCAACACCGGCCTCACATGTGCATCGAAAGACAGTAAGAGAATACCTTCGCACGACTTCTCACTGTAGTTTTTGTAGATCTGAGGTAATCTCGCTCTGCAATCAAAGTCAATACCAACTTATCAGCCCCAACGAAATGAGTTACTCACCCTAGATAGCACACAGCACTGAAATACCCCAGCACCAACCCTCCAATAGCCTGGTCAGAACCATTGTTGTTCTCCAACGGCGCCGGCGCCCACATCCCCGTCTGCCAGGCCATAGTCCAACCAGCCATACCAATGAGGAAAATCCCAGCAACACTAGCAAAATTCTTAACCCACGCCTTACGGCCATAATCATTCTCCTCAACAATCTTGGCCAGGGTATCTTCGACCTCGCTCTCGCGCCGGTCATTAGCGTGATAACGGCGCAGTGAGCCCGACGACCGGCGCCGCGACTCGGAAGACGAGAGGGAATCGCTGAACCGCCGCCCCAACAACGGGGTAGTCGGGTCTGGGGTCTCTGTGGACGAGCGTCGGCGGTGGAAAGGCTCGGGACGCGAGTTGCGCACTTTATAGTATACACACTGCGTGATCAAAACGCCGTCTGCGATGCAGAAGTATACTGCGATCGCAACGATCACGGGCACGAGACCGCTTAGTAGGCCGCCGACGAGGTTTGCGACATCGCCAATGAACCAGACAAAGACAAAGAGGAGAGATATGGCTTCTGAGTTGCCATTGCGGTAGTTTTCAATGAGTTGAGGTACCTATAACAGTATTGTTAGATATGAACTGTGCCCACTTTGGCTTTCGAGGTGCGAATCTGGTTTATCGCGCTTGTCAAACATACCAAAAGGAAAAACCAGCAGGTCATAGAGACTGAGCCCAAGAGACCAGATGCAGCCTCACGGGCTGTTAAAGGTATAGGGCCTTGTTCCATGCTTTCCATGCTCTGCGACAAATGTGTGTTGGAGTGAAAGAAAATTGCGCAAGAGATAAGAGGCTATGACACAATCTACTTAGTCCCGCTATGTCCAAACTTTCAAGGGTCCAAGCACATACAACGTAGGGAAAATCTCTTAAAATATGTATAATATGCTAACCATATATATCTAAGTATATGTGTATATTAGCATGTACAGATGGTTTTTTTTTTTTTTTTTTTCTTTCTTTTTTTAAAAATCCAGAAACATCCATGTCAATTGACTAAATCTATCAGCGCGGGATGATACGCATCAGCCAAGCATTGGAGGATTTCCACAGCCAATGATACACTTCTTCATGGTCATGCAAGTCAAGTCTAAACTAGAATATGTGCTACATATGTACTCCGTACTAATTACCTAGTATGATCAATGTGAATGTGCAATCTGCTTCAGTTATTACTCCTATAAGATATAAATCCTCAGTTGAAATGTCTCAAAGGGGTGTGGAAAACATGTACTTTGATTCTATATATTTTTCTCGAGATAGACAATTGAATAATTCTCTTTTTTAGCATGATATATGCTGACTTTTGCTAAAAAAACAATATATATATACCCATATCCCCTCCGTGTGATTTTTTCAGTTGACCGTAATTACCTAGATAATCCAGGGCCACGCTGTAAATGTTGTACATAGAATTATTCAATTATTTTCTATCGTACTCGGACTAATACAGAATTCATGTCCGTCATGAAGTTGCATTATTCTCCTCGCATAATCGCGAGTTCGTCCTCGAGCATGCTGACCGCAAAATCTCCAAGAGAGTCCTTGATAGTGCCGTCTAACAGTCGTTGGCGGGCTGTTTCCGAGATTGCCCCCATGGCCTCTAAATAATTGGTCAAAGGCGCATAGTCCACAACTACTTCGCTCCAGTTGCCTCTATCGACTCCGTATTGAGAAAGGAAAATACGAAGAGTTTGCAACCCCTCGCGCGTGAGCCACCCTTCAAGGGCTGCCGGGTCCCTGAGTGGTGGGCGTGAGTGTGGGATATCGAAATGCTCTGTATCCACGTCCTCATCTTCAAACCCATTAGGCTCTTCGTCGTCTGATGGTACATTGGGAGGGCGGGCGTCGTGGTTGATCTGACCGAGGAGATCCTGCAGCCAATTTTCGCCACCTCCAGCAGGAGCTGCATACATGGGTGTGGGTTCGGATTGCTGCTTGTAGGCCTCGGATTCGTAAGGGGGAAGAGGGTCGGAGGAGGATAGTCGACCAGCCACAAAGTGGTTTGGAAGATGGGTTGTCACTTTAGCTATATCGGACAAGACCACATGACGAGCGATGTCCAAAGTGATCTCTGGCGGATCGTTAGGCTCCTCGCCAGAGATAGAATCTGCGACTTCCATAATGAGAGAAATAGCCTCGGGGGTATTCCAAAGATCCTTTGCACGGGCGATGTAGAGTTCAGTAAGCAGCTCATGAGCGCCTGTAGGAGGCATCTTGCCCCATATTTGCTTAGGAACGTGCTGGACATCAAGTTCCTGTGTTAACCTGCTGAACACCCACGGGTAGTGAGACATAGCGAGATGCAGCTGTCGGCGACATTCTTGGGGCTTGTTCAACCGGAGGTAGGCTATTACCAGCGAGCACTGAATATTGGGGAGGTCGGCCCAGTCGCGACTAAAGCGTGTCTGGGTACAGAGTTGCACGAATTGTGCGTATTCTCTACCTCGGAGCGCGAGGTGGTCGATGAGCAGT